AGTTTCGTTATCAAAAATCAAATGCAAAATATAACGACATTTCCTTTTTATCCATATTCAATTTAGGAAAATTAGCTGTTTAATATAAATCAGCGTAATCAAAAGTTTTTATTATAAAAAATTTAACAGTTCATCAAATATCTCTAATTAATACAGTCAGTTAATGAAAGTAATTGTTAATAAATACTTTTTTTCGACAGGAAAACAAAAAATGTCATAGAGTAAAAATGACCACAGAAGTTAGAAAAAAGTTCTCATTGTTTAAATGAAAATAAGTAAGATTCAGAATATATAATACTGCTCTTACTTAACGTAAACGTACGTACATAACGTTTTTTACAACTTAAAATACTGGTATGAAAATCATAAGATTGGTAAGTAAAGCTTTAATATTTGTTTTAATTTAAAAACAAAAGAAATATTAAGTAAGATATGTAAATCTAAAAATGATTAAAACATCTGTAAAAAATAAGTTGCTCCTATAAAACAAAAATAATTAATATTTTTACTTTTATACAAAGTTTTTTTTGTGATGTTTGAAAAAATAATACAAATAAATTTGTTTTGTTTTATGTTAAAAAAATACTTCAATGTACTTTTTGAATTAAAGTAGAAAAATGCAGCTTTGTTTAATTACATTTTTCATTTGTCAAAAGTCTACCATGATGTTAAATACTTAAACTTTTTTGAATTAAATGCACTTTCAAGGGTTTGGGATCCCTTTAAGTACTCATTTCATAAAATAGTTACACCCAGAGAATTATATTAAACAATATTTAGCAATACCACTCTATCACATCTGTCGTTACCTTCAAGCATAACTGTTTTTCTTTTAAATATATATGACATATTTGTTAATTTGTTAAGAATTGTTAAAAAAGATTCTTAACAACTCGCAGTAAGGTAAACAAAAGAACATTAAAATTAAAATAACTAAAAAAAATAAATTTTTTTATTTAAAGACACAAAATACTTACTTACGTAAACATAATAAAATATATATTATATTTATTAATACTTTATATAAAAAAATCATTAGCAGTGATTTGTGACTTTAAATGCATTTTAATAATAAAAAAACATAAGTAAATATCAAAGTTTGAATAACTCAAATGGCTTAAATGGTTTTAATAATTCAAATGGCTTTGAAAAAAAAAAAGTTTTTTCAAAAAGTCTTTTTTTCTACTTAACAAAATCTTTCTTCTCTTCCAGTTTATTAACGTTAATGATATAAAGTTTATTAAATAGACAATTGTTGTTTAAAGTCATTACTTATAAAATTTAAGCTATTATTATTACTTTTTTAATTATAATTATTATAAAAAACAATGATATAATTAAATAATATAAATAAAAATGTATACAACTTTTACCGATAATTTAATTAAAATCATTAGTAATTTTATTTTTAAAATGTTATAAAATTTTTAATGTAATTAAAAACCATTTTTTCAGCATACTTTTAAAACAATGGTCAAAGTGTCAAAAGAACATATTATTTGCGTGGTCATAAAAAGACTTATTTTGGCACGGCTTCATGGTAAAGCCTGATATATACATATATATATAATACATTTGCGAGCATATATACCCATATTTTTTTAATTTTTTTTTTTTTTTAATTATCTTTGTTTCCAACAAGGCTGCAAGCAACCACTAATTAGTGTTGGAAGTTATATGATTGCAAATTATATGTTAAAAGATTGCAAATTATATGAATCAGGAAAGCAAGACGAAGGAAGCGAATTCCAAAGAACTGATGTTCGAGGAAAAAAACTAGACAAATAAGAGTTTTTGGAGCACTTAGGAACAGGAACAGAAAAAGGATGAGACTTAATTGAAGTAACGCGGGAATGAATTTTAGTAGATGGCACAAGAGACGCTCTTTAGAGCAGTGCCCATTATAGTATTTGTAGAAAAGAGAAAGAGAAGTAACATTACGACGATGTTACAGAGGTTGAAGGTTGGCTGCAAAAGCAGGTCCAACTATGTTTACAATGCGTTTTTGCACCTTGTCTAAAAGAGAAAGGGCATCATTAAAAGATCCGCCCCAGATATGGCAACAGTATTCCATACAAGGCCGGATTTGAGATTTATAGAGATAGAGAATAGAATCCAGAGTAAGAAAGTGACAAGCTTGATAAAGAGAAGCAACTTTAGCAGATGCTAATTTTGCAACGGATTTGATATAAAGTTTCCAAGAAAGATCAGAAGTAAGAGTTAATCCTAGAAGATGAAGGGTAGGAGACTCATCGAGTACATTACCGTTCATAAATATAGGAAGGTCTAAATTATTGCGATAACGATTGGCCGAAAAAAATTGAGTTTTATCTGAATTAAAGTTCACCAGCCACTGTGAGCCCCATGCTGTAGCAGAAGTGAGATCCTTTTGAAGCTCAGATGCCCCCTGCAAGCAATCAGAGGGAGTTGGCTTCTTATCGTGACAAGAATAAATGGTAGTATCTTGGCTTCTTATCGTGACAAGAATAAATGTTAGTAT